CCGCCTACTGTTGAGCGATCGGATCCTAATGCTGTGAGGTCAGACGGTTTCCACGAAGTGAAAACAGCTGATGAATCAGGCTACCATCAAATGCTTTTCTCCATGGAGTTACTGCGTTGTCTGCAATGTTTCTCAGTATGATTTTCAGCTTTTCTATCTTCATGGAGACTAATTACTAGTTACAAGTTATAGGTCAGATCTGTGGAGAGGAACCCCTGCTCATAGTCAGAATACCTTTTTCTCTAGATCTTTTTCAGCTATAAAACCACCTGTAACTGAATCAAGATAATGTAGCTGTTTAATGTCATGCTATGGAATATTTCAGGCAAAACAATGACATATCTATAGAAACATGCAGGTGATGGACCCCAAACCAAAAAGTTACACAATGCACCTTTAATTTCTAATGCAGCATACGATCATTTTGTTTGACTTCTTTGAATAACTACTGAAACAGATAAATATCATATGCTTGCCTGAGATTTCCCTTTATTAATTGGCTTCAGTTTCCTAGGCACCATTTTGAGTACCTTTGGAAATGTTCATCACTATGGCAATGGTGCTAATTTTCATCACGCTAAACATATGGATAGATAGGCACGATTTCAACATGCGTAACATTTTCTGTTTATTTTATGGCATGATCTCGTTCCAAATGCTTATCATATTAGTACAATCAAAAGTACACTGACATACAAAGAATGAGTGCTTCCTATAGAGCTAAGACCAAACATTAGTGAGTGTGACTTGTATCTGGCTGGAGACTGCAGGTGTGAGTGAGGTGACACTACCACATGTTGTCACCCACTCTCACGTTTGGAAACATTCACGCGATCTTTTGGCCCCTCTGTACACAGGCACTGGCACGTGTGTGGAAACTGTTGTTGTACTCGTTTTATGCAGGAGGGTGTTGGCATTGCACATATAGACTTAGACAAACTTATCTGGACACAGTAGCTCACACATCACAATATACTAAAAAACAAAGCAAAAATATACATGGAAATAATAAATTCAAAAATAACAAGTGGTTTCAAAAAAGGCATAACAGCAGTAGCTCAGTTGGTAGAGCATTTGTCCACTGATCTTAAGATTGGTTGTTCGAATCCTGCGTTGTTGTTGTGTCCTTGAGCAAGACACTTAACCCATCTCACCCTTATTGTCTTTGTACACTGGTGTGTGAATGTGTGTGTGAATGGATGAGCGGTTCCTTGTTGTAAAGTGCTTTGAGTGTCTTGAATGTTGAAAAGCGCTGTATAAAACTATGTAGCAAAAATAAAAAAAAGATATTGCCTAAATATATTTAACTGATTTAAACCTTATTTTGTATGTAGTGGTGTTAGGACCTTGATATGTTTTGGTTTGAACCCAGCTTAGTTTAGTGTTTCTGCATTGAATTCATTGCTTTTTTTTGTTTAGTTTTTTTACTGTAGGCTGTTTTACATTGTGGTATCTGCTGCTCTCACCACTGCCAATGATTCACACATCATATTCATATACATATACAAGGTTGGTGAAGTGTTTTGCCCAAGGACACAATATGTACAGTATGAATGATGCAATGTACATTTTTGAATTATTTAGACATTTGTAGTTAAGTTCTGGTTTAGTCCTGGCTTAGTCCACGTTGATAAGCCTTGATTTAGACAATTAGACATAATTTAGTCCTACTTCCTTGTCTTGGTCTTGTTTAATGGTTTATTTATATATTTAACATGGGTTAAACTTGTGTCAGCCAAGATAATACAGAATAAAGTAAGATAATAAATGCTACATCCTAAATGTCTACCATATTTGAATAAGCCATTGTTTCCTAAGGACTGGGTCATGACCCTCAGGTGGGCCGCAAGAGATTCTTTTTGGGTCGCCTTGTCACAATCTGCATATACGTCTGCAATGTACAGTTCTGCCTATACGTCTGATCTGTGTGTTGTGCTCTCTTCCTGCACCTTGGACTGAAACGCACTACAAAAACACAAACAGCCCCCCCTATCTCATTAGAAATGTTGAAATGTTAAGACATGTTTTGTATAATTTCTAATCTTTTTGTAATTATTTTATTGACTAATTTGTTCCAGTATTGCTGGTTCAATTGATTGTTGAAAAGAAAAAGAAATGGGCTACATTTAATGTCAAAATAGGCGACTTATGGATCCTTTTATTGCTGGTTCAATTACTGTTTTTCATTGGTTAAAACTTGTGTAATACTAATTGTTCAGAGAGACTCAAACACTCTGTAAACAATAAAATATTAATGTTGAATAATGGTCAAATCAACCTTTATTTTGTGATTTATGAATAATGTCTATTGACTTGAGTTGCGAAGGTTTGTGACTTTTAAAATATGGCTCCCCAGAAAAAGTTTGGGAAACACTGGAATAAGCCATATATTATAGCACATATGACTGTTGTAAAACATGTTGCTGACTGACCAAAGATAAGATGTTTTTCTCAGTTGCCTTGAGAATGTTTAAACATATTCAGTCATATGAGTTAGCAGTAATTATAGTTAATTCTTTTGTTTTTTTCCCAACGCCATAAATTACCACACGCCCTCTGTGCTCCATCCTCTGACCTCTGTGGAGTCCCGCGTGTGGGAAAGTGCTGAGTCCCAAAGCTGCAGCAGTGCTACAGATGTTAGTGCGTGTAGATGTTAGCATGATTTATGTGTGTGTGAACTGGAGGTAGGAGGATAGAGAAAGTTAGCTTTGAACGTGCACGTGGTATGGGTGATGCAATTTGATATAAGTGCGCCCCATTGTGTTCAAAGATGGGGCGGCGCGGGGGGCATATTCTCATGTTTCATTCATGAGGCTCATTAACAGTGTTGAGAGTGGCGTCCCCGCGGTCCAGACGAGCTCACAGCCTGGGCCTGTCTCCTCTGGCAAAATGGGCTCCGGATGCAACATAAGCGATCAGGCCAAATGTAGCATGCCCCATGGAAAATTGGCACAATGTAAAGACTATTGCTATAATCTAATCCTTTTGTATCCTCAGGCAGGATTCATTATTGGACTCCTTAAAGCAAAGAAAGATCATTTTTCTGTTGGGTCTGAAATTACAGTTTGGGTTTTGAACTGGTTCCTGGTGTAGGCTTAGTGTAGGTGTTCATTTACTCCTGGTTTAGTCCTGGTTTAGTGCCAGTTTAGTCTTGGTTTAATCCTGGTTTACTCCTGGTTTAGTCCTGGTTTAAAAGCCCTAGTTTAGTCCTGGTTTAGTACCAGTTTAGTCCTGGTTTAGTCCTTGTTTAGTCCTGGTTTTGATCCAGTTTAGTACTGGTTTAGTCCTGGTTTAGTGCTGGTTTAGTCCTGGTTTAGTTCTGGTTTAGTTCTGGTTTAGTTCTGGTTTAGTCCTAGTTTAGTCCTGGTTTAGTCCTAGTTTAGTACCAGTTTAGTCCTGGTTTACGCATGGTTTACACATGGTTTAGTCCTGGTTTACTCTTAGTTTAGTCCTGGTTTAGTCCTAGTTTAGTCCTGGTTTATTTCTAGTTTAGTCCTAGTTTAGTCCTGGTTTAGTCCTGGTTTAGTACCAGTTTAGTCCTGGTTTAATACCAGTTTAGTCCTGGTTTAGTCCTGGTTTAAATCTGAATTCTTGGTCTAGTCTTGATTAGCTGTGTTATAATCAAATCCTCTTACCTATTGTCTAGTTACAGTCCTGGTTGTATTTATTTATGCTTTAAACCTGGTTCAGTACTTGTTTAGTCCGGGTTTACTTATCCAAATATAGACCTATGATTCCCTGGTTTAGTCCTGGTTTAATCCTGGTCTTGATTAACTCAGAGCTAGTGTCTGTCTCCAGCTGGTATTAATGGACCAACTGTATGCCCCATGGCAAATCTGGCAGGATTTAAGGACCAGCGCCACAATCAAATCCCTCATGTATCCACAGGCTGGCTTGTGTTGGCAGAGAAGAAATGAATTATACATTCAATAATGTAATTTTCTGAAGAAATAGTAACGACGGCTTTGACCTTGACTGTATCCACGTTTAGTCCTGGTTTTGGGCCAATTCAATCAAAATGTAAACTTGGGTTGGTCCTGTTCTAATCCTGGTTTAAATTTCATCTAGTCCAGGTTTGGTTCCAGGTTTATTATAATGTAGCATGAATGTAACTGTAAATGTAACACCTGCTTTAGAAGATAATTTTTATTGGTTTAAACTAAACTACAAGTACAAGATTATTGCAGAGGATGATTGTATTATCTAAACAATTGCATCATTTGTGATTTGATAGATGTGCACACTGAAATAGCGTTTTCGATTCAGTTGTGATATTGTGCTGCCCTAATATTCTCATCCATAAAAATCCTGTGGCTGATTTATATTTGACTCAGAGCAGAGATCATTTTTTCTGGTGCAGTTTTTGTGCTTTCTAACAGTTTAAATGTACAGTTCTCTCTCTGCAGCGATGGTGGCTCATACCTCTCCCAATTGTCAGTGATTTATGCACTTAAAGACCTGTCAGACTTAATAACATTAGTGCTGTGATGTGTTGCTAGGATACCCATAGTTAAAAAGGTTTAGCGTCAATTTATAGTAGAAGTTTCTTAATGGAAAATGTTAAGTGCCTGCAATAGATGACAAATCCACTTATACAAAGAAAGTTAAAACACTTATCTAGACTCAGCCCGCTCTGTTTTGTATTAATGTTGTTATTAGCGCTCAAAATGTTTTGTGTTTTTTTTCATATTCACCTATTTTCTTTTGTGTTATTGTGTAATGGTACAGCAAAAAAATAATGTGTACTTTTATACGGCTCTTCTGGTTGGCAAATGCAATTCAGAAAAAGCTTAATTTTGATTCATAAGTTTGGTTCATTTAATTAGTATTTATTTTAAGTAGGCTATATATTTTTTCTTTTTTAAGATCTATAATCAAGGTAAGAAAGATACTATAATTTCCTCCTGGTCTGAGCTCAGCAATTTTTACTTTCCATGATGCATTGCAGGAAAATGTATATACCTTTTAAAATAATCATAGTTTCTTTTGTGTCTGTACAGAAATGCGATTGAAGGACAATGCCTCCAAGTACATGGAGCTGCTAGAGGACAGACTGCAGAGGTAAGAGCAATATGTCTTTTGTCTAGACATAAGATTGATTTGAGAACTACTTTTAAAGGTCTCCGCTCTTTCTTATAAGAACAGCGTATTTATTAACATGATTAAGAGAAACTTCTGTTGTGATGTTGCCAACCAAATGCAAAAGGCGGGATATAAGTGTACTTCTGTGCCAGTCCTAAACCTGAAGAACATCAATATGTCAAGGAGGGCATCTAACGTAAAACCTATTCCATATCATTATGTAATAGTAGTAATAGTAGTAGTTAGTAGTAGTAGCTCTCTCAAACCCTATCATATCGTTAATATCCATATGTATTTTCTGGTGCTTACACTTGTCTTTGGAACACTTTTTTTTCCTCACAGTGAAGTGAAAACTGTCTAGGTGCATCTCTTACCTCCAGGTTTGCGATAATGTGATGCAGACAGTGTGTAGCGATGTGATTTTGTCATAAAGTGCTGCTTTTACAGTATAATCTAGGTGCTAGAACACTAATTTACATGAATAATATTAGGTACTCCAGCTTTAAACCAAGTATAGTCCTGGTTTAGACCTGGTTCAGTCCTGGTTTACTGTACCTGTACTCCTGATTTATGCTTCATGCAGTTCTAATTTAGTCAGTTAGTAATAGGGGTGTGCAAAAATATCGAAATATCAATATATCATATAATTTAATGTGATGATACAGTATCGATATCGGGGACTGCTGTATCGATATGTCGCCAAGAGTATTTTTGGTGTATTTTACAATTTTATTTTGTTACAGTGCTTCAGTTTTGTTGTTTGTTCAGAGGAAAGAAACTCATGACACATTTCACATTTTCACTATTTTGATGATTAAAATGTTTGTGTTTCATATGAACTTTGCACAAGAAGTGGTTTAACAAAGACTTTTAGTATCACAGCCATGATTTAGCTTTACCTTTATTTTTTATTAAACCATATCGAATCAATTTGAAATATATCGCATCGAACCGAAAGTCCCCTGTATCGAGGTATGTATCGTATCGTGGCCTGTGTATTGAGGTATGTATCGTATTGGCAACTTCTTAATGATACCCAGCCCTAGTTAGTAATAATCTTGAATACCACACTATTCTGGCCCCATCTCTCATCTCTCATTAATTCACCACATCCACACAGACGCCATATATTCATCTGAACAAAGAAATGATGTGAACTGCTCCTCTGAGGTTTTGCGCTCACCTTTATTGTCCTCTAACTCTGGCCTGGTCTCATCATAGGTCCCCTCCCCCTCCCACACCTCTGCCTGCCAGCGCCCTTTCTCACTTCTCACTGTCTCCCACCTGCACAATTTCATCTCTCCCAAACCCAGACGCCAACTTAGGTCCCTGGCTTCTCCACTAACACTTCCAGACATCTCAGTAGTATCTTTTTGTCACTTTAACTTGAGTTTTGTGTGTTGAGTTCCCAAATAACTCCTGACGGGTAGTAGTAGCACAGGTGGAAAAGAAGTCTACAGCACAAAGCGGTGATTTGATGGGTGTACAATTTTAAATCTTTGCTGTCCTGTTTCATATCTACTTTAGTCCCAGTTTTGTGAAGACATACATATTTTTACTTCCACTTTAAGCTTGATTAGGAACTAGGTTAGTCCTGTCTGTCTGGCTTATAATTCAATGTAATTTTGTCTGATTTAATTGCAGTTTATTTTGTAGCGTATTTTCATTTTGTCCTCGATCATGTTTCAGTCCAACCTTACATGTCTTATACTTGCTTTTGTCCTGTTAGTCCTGGTTTAGTCCTGGTTTAGTCCGAGTTAGTCCAGGTTTAGTCTTGGTTTAATCCTGGTTTAGTCCTGGTTTAATTCTGATTTAGTCCTGGTTTAGTCTTGGTTTAATACTGGTTTAATCCTGATGTAGTCCTGGTTTAGGCTTGGTTTAGTCTTGGGTTAATCCTGATTTAGTCCTGGTATAGTCCTTGTTTAGTCCTGGTTTAGTTTTGGTTTAATCCTGGTTTAATCCTAATTTAGTCCTGGTTTAGGCTTGGTTTAGTCTTGGTTTAATCCTGATTTAGTCCCAGTTTAGTCCTCATTTATGAACACTTTGACCTGGTTTAGTCTTGGTTTGCTTAATTAATCTCGATCCAGGTTTTATTTTCAACCTTATTCTTCTTCTTTAGTTAATTTAGTAATTTTATATTGCGTTATTTCCTTGTTAATCATAGTTTTACTCACTGTCTGGTTTTAGCCGCTCATCCTGTATATAGAAATCCCTGTATACATCTTTTTTTTGTCATTTTTGCTTGAGTTCTTTGCCTGTCTGAGCTCTCAAATCAGAGTGGACAGGTGCGGCCAGTCGACTGTACTGTCTTACACAAAGAGAACTGCTGACTGGTGGACTTTACAGTAGCGGGGAGTGCACTGGGTTTTTGTTGACACCAGACGCAGGCTTTTTATGCGTCCTTATGGAGACAGGAGCTTCTGGGTTGGTTGATTTTCAGCGGCAGACGGACCGAGAGGAGCAGCTGTTTTGGAAGACGTTTGTGTTTTACAGATGGCTGACTGGAGCCGGTGATGTTTCTGTGTTCAACATATGAGAGGGTATTACAGTTTTGTGTTATTGTTCTCGAGTGTTCATTAAGAGAAATCGCAGGGGAGAGGTTTAAATCAGATTTGACTACATTGGTTAAAGCTGGTGCTGGCTTGTGCAGAGCCGGCTGCTGGTATGGAATATGGAATAAACTTGTAGAGATAAAAACACTACGGCTGTGTTTCTTTAGTAATTTAGTTGATTAATCATTTGAAGGTGTCTTAGTGAGTTAAAATGGTAGAGGATTGTAGTAGGATTTACATGAGAAACAGCAGACAGGTGTGGTTACTGAGTGAGAGTGAGTTAGCTGCTATTTAAACGTAAAAAGGCAGATTAATAATTTGAATAAATAGTTTCGTAGTACTTTTTTTAAAAAGCGAAAATAGTGAACTCTCAAGCAGGTGTAGTCTTGTGAGTGCAGATACGGGTGTCATGAAGAAACAGGTGAGGACCCAAAATGTAGGACTACACTTCAGTGGTTTAAGGTAACAAAACCAAAAACCAGAAGAAATCAAACCTTGCTTCATTTAGGGGAGGAGCTGAAAATGATGACATCCGAAGCCTTGCTGTCCAGCTGTACCATGTGACTGATTCAGGAAGTGGTTCGGATTTTGCCACAATACCAATTCCATACTGCCATCACTACAATATACATGTTTTGCATACTTCTTTATTTTGCTGACAGTTTTATTCACAGGCTTTCTGCAAAATCCCACACAAATTCATGCCAACTGATATGTTTGCGTCCAGAAGATGTCCTACTAGCACAAATGAAGCTTCAAGAATCTTTGAGCTGGAGTGAACCAATTGGATGAAAGGCTTCAATGCTTCATGAAGCTTCATCTGCCCATCACTACCAAAAATCCAAAAATCGAAACTACAACAGACATGATACTGACAAAAACAATGGACCAAAAAAGGACAGAGGAGAACACAGGGTATATAAGCACAGAGATACAGTTGTGACACATTAGGGCCGGGCAAACAATCAACAGACAAGAAGTAAAACTCTAAAGTACAAGCTGACAGGACAAATGTCAAAATAAAACATCAAAGGCACACTACACTACAGGTAAAAGATACACCAAAATAAGCACAAACAACTACAAAACATGAACTATGACAACGGGTCAGAGATACATAATTGTTTTTGCCAGACCCCTTTTTCGTCAACTAATCAATCAGAAGGACATGTCTTAAGTTGACAAAAAATTTCTTTAACTCTTTTCCTACAGCCCTACATTACATTATGTTTAAGCAAATGTATACAGTTGTATCTTGGAATAGATATTACAATTTGAGTTGTCATCTAAATTAGGTTTTTTTTTTTTTGCTTTGTTTTGTGTTTTGGTGCTGAGTGTTCTGTGGATTTGTACGTCCTTTTTGCAGAGGCCAAATTATTACGTAAGTACTTCACAGTGTTTATGAAAAATAAAATGATGACTGTTCATGGAAACATCAGTATGCTTCTGCTTAGCACTTGGTTTTTCAGCATAAAGTGGCTCTTCACAGCTTCAAAAGAGTGTGTCTATTTTACAGCCGGTATATTATTTACAGTTGCTTACCTTAAATGTACATAAAACATTTAATGTAAGTAAACAGATAGAATTTAATAAGATATAGGTTTGTCAAAAGCGGATGCAAAGATAATAATGAACTTAAAACTAGGTACAGGACTAGTTAGCCGAGGTGGGACCAAGTCTCAAGTAAGTCTCAATTCTTTGACCTCAAGTCCGAGTCAAGTCCCAAATCAAATACAAACAAGTCCAAGTTGAGTCTCGAGTCACTGGCCCATAAGTCCAAGTCAAGTCCAAGTCATCTGCTTTGAGCTTCAAATAATTTCAAGACTTTAAAATGAAGTACCAAATATAGCTTAGATTTTTGCAGTTTATATGAATTTTAAGATAAATTGTACTTATAAAGTCATAGTATATTTATATATGAGTATTTATAGAGTGTATAAGAGTTGAGAAGAGGAATGTACATTTTTCCTTTTTAAATGTCTTGACAAGATCGTAGAGCAAATCATTACAGTCAAAATAGAAAAAGTTCAGATTTAAAAGTGCTTCTCAAGTCTTCTCAAGTCAGAGGGCTCAAATCTGAGTCAAGTCCCAAGTCACTGACCTTCAAGTCCAAGTCAAGTCCCAAGTCTTAGTCCATTTTATCAAGTCTCAAAATCTGCTAGATAGTGAAGAAATCTGATCAGTAGGGCAAAATTTGACCTGAATAGTTTTAGAATTGTCTTGATCAACTAGGATTAATTCACATTGTAATGGAAAATATACTACAGTTAATTTGCATTATTGTCTAAAAAATTTGTTTTTTATTATCATACTGGTATCAAAATCAGGATCGGCTGGAGAGGTTTTTTATTACTCTCAAATCAAGTTCAAAATTCCAAAATTGTAACAACAATATTTAGATAACATTAATGACCTTTCAAAAAATCC